ATACTGGACCAGATGTCAGATGTATGAATATGTTAACATCCGAGGAAACAATTGTTCTAATTGTACCGCCCTGACAAAACAGAACGTAAATGCACATTGGCACATAAAGAGTTACGAAAGCAAAGAACAAGGATGTGCATTTGATGGAAAACCAAGTGGAATCAAGAACGAAAACAATTTCGGACAGTATCTTGACCAAAAAACCAATCCAAATCACCGCTGCTCGTCATCAGATACTTCTACAACGCAGCATTGGTTTGGAGCTAAATATGATGTATAAATTTCTATGGATTTATTTCCTTCTTCAGAAAAGGCAAGCCGGACAACCCATGTAAGAAACCATTAGAGCAAGGCTATGAACCAACTGTGACGTCATGGAACTTCAAGTGAGTTGCACCTTTGGTGTTGAACTTGAACGGATTGTTTAAATCTTTTAGATATTAACACTGACTCTTTATCGCTGAGGAATGTAAACCTACATGAGAGCCACGTTATATGGAACTTACGATATGTTTTTTCTATGTGATCAACGTTCAATTTTGTGTTTTAAGGCGGTCTCTCTGTGAGCACTTTATTTTTTAGCCGATATCAGGGAGCAAAGCTATGTACCATAAATTTTAAAGTCTTAAAATGTAAGCGTGAAAGATGTTCTCGTGTCAGGTATTGTTGTGATTACAAACAACCCAATTAATCTACCCTCACCTTCCCCCCCTCTAAAAAAAAAAGGAAAAGAAAGAAAATGGATGTGAGGTCGTTCAATGTGTGATGGGTGTATCAGGAGATTTGTGACACTCACAGGTTTACCAGAACCTTTCCTGAAAAGTGAAATCGCCAGAAGTTTAAAGACATCTTAAAAACGGCATCCTTGCCTTTGCTTAACTACACAGTCCAAGTCATTCAACCATTTTCTCTTTGCTGATAATTGAAAATTAATTTCGTCTTATTCAGTTTGATTATTAATAAATCAAGTTTTGTTTTATTGGTTTCCCTGTAATTTAATCAGCTTAGTGACGCAAAAAGTTTTGAGATCTCTCTTTATTTTCAAAACGTGATCGTCGTAATTACATTTACTAAGTGGCAGCAAGATCTTGAGATCTCTCCTAAGTGGTAAATATGTATAAAATAAAGCTTTGTTTATTGTCNGCCAAATAAATGGTAAATAAAAATGTTCGTTTTCTCTAGGACTTCAACAACAAGCAAAAAGCTTCAGCTCACACCAAACCAACAAATCAAACGAAGAAATATTTATTTGAAAGTTCATTTCGCAGTTTGCCTAAGAACAAGTAAAGTGATTTTACTGAAACGCCAAGTGTACGCTTGAGCTGAATTGACTCCAGTCTTTCACAAAAGGCACACTTATTCCTAAACTATTATGAATTTTCCTTCGATGGCTGGTTTCTACACTGAAGAAATCATGTGCAAATTGAGTTGTTTTGGAAGAAATAGTACATCACCGATTCGTTTTACATCTAAGTCTAAATTTGAAAAACTCCGGACGTTTGTTCATGCCACATTTGCTCGTTTGAAAATCTTCTACGTAACATGACTTCGTATCAGAGATATCCATGTTGTTTAGGCAACTTTCTACGACAAAATAGGTGGAAAAAAAGTTGACAGAAAAAGTTAGTCTTTGTGTGTGGGACTTTGCACTGACATCTAAAGCAAGGTTTCGTAACGTTGTTTTAGATCAAACTGTCATTTGATTATCAGCGTAAGGCTAGTGCAGTAAATAAATTGAAAACCGGACGGGTCTAACATTCAATATCCTCCGTCTGAGCAAACTGATAGATTCATTACAGGGTAAAAACTTTGTTTTACTAAAATGTAGGGGATGACTATAAACGTGCTCTCGGTTTTTCTCTATATTCTATTCACAATCTATTGGTTTCTCCAGTTTACTTCGGCGTCACATCCTTAGGTGAGTTTATCCGAAGATCTGTCCTAGAGATAGGTTTCCACGGGGGTTTGATGATTTGGAAGTTTTCAGGTCTAAAATAGAATATTGAAATATCTGACAATAATTAAGCATTTCGATTTTAAGATCTTACTAGGGAACGCCCTCGATAAATTTTTTCCCAAAGATTGGCTGTCTACTACAGCGGCTTCGATGTACAATCCAAATTTATTAAGAAAGAAAAAAATGCCAGTGTTTTTCGGGCAGATATTAAAATATTGACATACTTGTAAAATCTTACTGTGCGCGGCTACCGACCCTAATATCCTCTTCTAATTCGGAAGAAGTTTAAACATTTGCTAGCTGTGACTGAAATAAATAAAGATTTTCTAGAGCGTTGAATGAAAAGCATTTAGTCAGCTAAGCGTTGGGAGCCTCTCTACTCGTAGCTCTGAGCCATAATTAGTTTGGTTGACTAATCAATTATTTTTATCAAAGATGTCCACTGACATTGGTCTTCACTTATTATCATTTTTTTTTGTTTCAGTTTCAGTTGACTCCGCCCAGTCTCCATATGGGCATCGTCCTCTATCTTCAAGTGGCACTGTTTGCAACACACCTGACTCTCTTCGCTATGGCAAAGATAGATGTAAATCGGCAAGATTTTAACTTTGTTATCGATGATGATGTCGTTTATAACCACATTCTTGAGGGTCAAGTGTTTCAAAGATTGACAGTTTCTAGGCCCCCCCAGTGTCACGTGAAGTGCAAAGATAACTGCCTGTGTGTATCCTTGAACTATTTCCCTCAGTCCAAAGAAAGTAATTGTGAGCTTAACGATGCTAACAAATACACGGAGCCAGCGGCAATGAAATGGAGAGATGGAGGAAATTATTATGATTTGGTGAGAAGCTACACAGTGAAGGTGAGAAAAAACTGTTTATCTATACATATTTCGGTGCGTTGATTGCCAAGTAACAGCTCAGACATTTATATAATTTACCCTTTGACTTGTTCCTCATTCACTCAATTTTTTCTTAGGTATGTGCGTTGACTAAATTCAGTCAGCCTTATGATAATTAACAATTATTAGCCGAAGGCGAGGTGAATATCGGCCAATAATCCCCGAGAC